CGTCCTCCGCCTCGAGCGTCAACAGCTGGTCGCCAGCGGCACCTTCGAACAGGGAAGGAGCCCCCCTTCAGCCACCAAACCAACGAGCCAAAGCCATCGTCGGCTGCCCCATCCTCCGCCTCAAGCGTCAGCAGCTGGTCGCTGGCGGCACCGTCGAACACGCACGCGGAGCTGGAGGGAGGAGGGACTGGCCCGCAGTACCACGCGGGCCCCGTCGGACCTAACGGCCACCGACGAACCGAAGTCTTCGTCGGCCCCGTCCTCCGCCCCAAGCGGCAGCGGCTGGTCGCCAGCGGCGCCGTCGAACACGCACGCAAGGCCGGAGGGGGGAGGGAGGGAGGGAAGGAAAAATCTCCACCAGCCCCAGCCACCACGCGGGCCACGCCGAGCCGACGCCAACGTCGGCGGTGCTGTCCTCCGCCCGGGGTTTCAGCAGCTGGTCCCCGGAGGCCCCGTCGAACACGCACCCGGAGCCAGAGGGAGAGGAAGGGAGCCCCCCTCCAGCCCCCACCACCACGCGGGCCCGGTCGGAGCCCACGGCCAGCGACGAGCCCAAGCCGTCGCCGGCAGCCCGGCTCCCCGCCCCGAACTTCAAGAGCTGGTCGCTGGCGGCCCCGTCGAACACGCACGCGGAGACGGATGGGGGAGGGAGGGCGGACCCCAACCGCCGCGCGGGGGCCCCGTCGGCGCAGCTCCGCCCTCCGCCCCGAGGTTCAGCAGCTGGTCGCCCGCAGCCTCGTCGAACGCGCCCGCGGGGCCAGCCCCCACCACCACGCGGGCCCCGTCGGAGCTCGCAGCCACCGACGAGCCGAAGCCGTCGTCGGCGGCCCGTCCTCCGCCCCGAGGTTCAGCAGCTGGTCACGGGCGGCCCCTGTCGAACGAGCACGCAGCGCCGGAGGAGTGAGAAGGGAGGGGACTAGGGGGGCCCGGCCCACACTACCACGATGGCCCCGTCGGAGCTCGCGGCCACCGACGAGCCGAAACCGTCGTCGGCGGCCCGGATGGGCAGCACGGGGAAAGGAAGGGGATGCGGGCGCGGGCAGGGGTGCGAGGAGCGGCGACGAAGGCGAGGCGGTCGGCGATGGCGCAGGCGAGGCCGTCGGCGAGGCCCTCGGCAAAGGCGCTGGCGAAGGCGTAGGCGACGGCGCAGGCGACGGCGTAGGAACTGGCCGCAGCGTCAGCGAGGGCGGAGGCAATGGCGTGGGCAAAGCCCTCGGCGAGGGCGTCGGCGAGGTCGTCGGCGAAGCCGTCGGCGGCGAGCTCGGCACCTCCCTACGTAGCCCGCGCGGCCGGCCACGGGCGAACAGCGCTCCCCGGCCCGCACGAGGTCGGGCAACGCGGGGACAGGGAGTGGTGTGGGCGCGAGGGCGGAGAGGCGAGGGGCGGCGACTAAGGCGAGACGGCGGAGACGATGGCGTAGGCGAGGGCGGAGGCGATGACATGGGCGAGGCCGTCGGCGAAGCCGTCGGCGAGGCCGTCGGCGAGGAAGAAACGGGAGGCGAAGGAAGGGACTAAGAAGGGGGGACGGAAAGGGGGGAGGAAGCGGGGGGCGACGAGAGGAGAGAGCAAGGGAGAAGGAGAGAGGAAGGGAGGACGGGATCGCATCGCCTTACGTCCTTCCTCCCTACCTCGCTCCCTCGCTTCTCCGCCGTTCCGTCCTTTCTCCCTTACCCTTTCACGACTCCCCTCTTCTCCTCCTCCTTCTCCTCCTCCTCCACCTCCTCCTCCTCCGCCTTCTCCTCCTCCTCCTCCTCCTCCTCCTCCTCCTCCTCCTCCTCCTCTTCATCATCCTGTTCCTCCTCCTCCTCCTCTTCATCATCCTGCTCCTCCTCCTCCTCCTCCACCTCCTCCTCCAGCTCAACCTCCATCTCCACCTCCACCTCCTTCTCCTCCTCCTCCACCTCCTCCTCCGCCTCCTCCACCTCCTCTCCAGCTCCTCCTCCACCTCCTCACCTCAACCTTCTCCTCCAGCTCCTCCTCCAGCACCTCACCTCCTCCTCCTCCTCCTCCTCCTCCTCCTCCTCCTCCTTCACCTCCTCCTCCTGCTTCTCATCCTCCTCCTCGTCCTCCTCACACTTCTCCTCCTTCTCCTCCTTCTTCATATTATTACTGCTATCAGTATCCGTAATATTATCCGTGTTATTAGTAGATCCTCATCCTCCTCCATCTTCCTCCGCCCGTCCTCCTCACTCCTCCTCCTCCTCCTCATCTCCTCTCCTCCTCTCATCTTGCCTCCTTCCACCTACTCCTCCTCCTCCTCCTCTCGTACTCCTCCTCCTCTTCTCCTCCTCTCCTCCTTCCTCCTCTCCTCTCCTCTACTCCTCCTCCTCTTCCTCCTCCTCCTCCTTACCCCCTCCCATCTCCTCCTCCTCCTCCTCCTCCTCCTCCTCCTCTCCTCCTCTCCCCTCTCCTCCTCCTCCTCCTCCTCATCTATCACATCATCATCATCATCGATCTCATCATCATCCATCATCATCATCATCATCATCCATCATCATCATCATCTCATCATCATCATCTATCATCATCATCATTCATAATATATCATCATCAATTCATATCTTCCTTCTCTTTCTCCTCCCTATCTCTCTCTCTCTCTCTCTCTCCCTTTCTCTCTCTCTCTCTCTCTCTCTCTCCGTCTCTCTCTCCTTCTCTCTCTCTCTCTGTGTATATCTCTCTCTCTCTCTCCTCCTCCTCCTCGTCCTTCTCTTTCTCCTCCTCCTCCTGCTCCTCCTCCTCCTCAGCATCACCATCATCATCATCATCATCATCATCAGCAGCAGCATCATCAGCATCATCATCAGCAGCAGCATCATCATCAGCAGTATCAGCATCAGCAGCATCATCCTCATCAATAGCATCATTATCAACATCATCACCATTACCATCACCATCACCATCACCCTCACGTCACCGTCACGATGACCGTCAGCATCATCATCCGCATCATTATCATCAGCATCATCATCAGCGGCAGCAGCAGCAGAAGCAGCAGCTGCAGCATCATCATCGGCGTCCTGACCCCCACCATCATCATCATCAACAGCAGCAGTATCAATATCATCCGCATCATCGCCATCACCACCAACAGCAGCATCATAAACATCATCGTCACCATCATCAACAACAACTACAACATCATCATTGGCGCTATGGTCGTCGCTATCATCGTCATCATCACCACCACCAGTAGGCTCATCTGCATCACCATCGTCAACCTGAGTATCGTCATCATCAGCATCATCAGCATCATCATCATCAACATCAACATCGGCATCAGCATCATCGTCTCCATCGTCACCACCACTACCACCACCATCATCATTATCATCATCAGCATCATCGTCATCAGCAGCATCATCATCAGCATCATCATCTGCATCTGCATCATCAAAAGCAGCAACATAAACGTCGTCAGCATCAGCCTCAGCAGCGTCGTCGTCATCAAAATTATCATCAGTTCCGACATCGTAATCATCATCAGCGGCAGCATCCTCAGCAGCATACTCCTCCTCATCATCAGCATCTTCATCACAACCACCACCAACAACACCAACCGCATCATCACCATCGTCGTATAGCATCCTCATCATCATCAGCATCATCGTCGTAGTCGTCAGCACCATCCTCATCGTCACCATCATCATCATCATCGTCATGATAATCAGCACCATCAACATCATCGTCACAGTAATGATCGTCGCCGTCAGCATCGTCACCAGCATTACCATCATCATCATCATCATCATCATCATCATCAGCAGCAGCAGCAGCAGCAGCATCAGCATCAGCATCAGCATCAGCATCATCATCATCATCATCATCATCATTATCATCATCACCATCATCGTCGGTACCGACATCGTCGTCGCAATCAGCAGCAGCAGCAGCAGCATCCGCCTTATCAGCATCAGTGGCAACAATATGATGAGCACGTTGCTCACCAACATCGTGATCATCACAACCACAATCAGCATATCATTAATATCATCATAATCATCATCAGCAGCAGCATCATCACCATCAGCATCATCATCAGCATCATCAGCATCATCAGCGTCAGCATCATCATCACCACCACCAACACCACCATCATCATCATCATCATCATCATCATCATCATCATCATCATCATCATCATCATCATCGTCACCATCACCATCATCATCACCGTCAATACTATCCTCATAATCACCAGACTCAGCATCAGCATCTCCATCACCATCCGCATCATGAGCATCGTCTACCTCACAGCCAACATCATCCTAAACGCCATCAGCAGCAGCATCATGGCCATTATCATCATCAGCATCATCAACAGCATCAGCATCATCGTCGTAATCATCATAATCATCAGCATTATCCTCATCATCATCAGCATCATCATCGTCATCAACGGCATCATCATCAAAAGCATCAGCAGCAGCATCAGCATCAGCATCAGCATCGGCAGCATCATGATCGTCATCATCATCGTCATAATCATCATCGTCGTCTATCATCCTTATGATCCGTATAATCGTCATGATAATCAGCACCATCAGCCTCATCCTCATCTTGATGATCGTCACCGTCGTCATCATCGCCATCATCGTCATCATGAGAATCATCATCATTATCATCATCATCATCATCATCATCGTCATCATCACAAGAATCATCATCAGCATCAGCATCAGCATCATTATATTCATCATCAGTGCCACCATCATCGCGGTCGTGGCCTCATCAACACCACCATCATCACCATCAACAACAACACCATCATCATCATCATCACCACCATCATCAGCATCATCGGCATCGGCAGCATCATCATCATCAGCATCATCAGCATCATCGTCATCAGCATCAGTATCCTGACGAACATAGCCATCATAGTCATCCCCATCGTCATGACGATCATCGTCCCCCTCTCCATGCTCAGCCTGCTCCTCCTCCTTCCTGAGAAACGGGAAGAGCGAGGATGAGCAGAAGGGAGGAGCAGGCGGGGTGCTGTCCTGCGCGATGACCATGGTCACAAGTTCGCTAAAGTCGATGCCGGACTCCTCTGGCAGGACAAACTTTGACGAGGCGGAGCAGGAGAGCCAGGAGCATGGAAGGCGGGAGAGGGCAGGCGGAATTTCAATTGTTTCCCCATTATTCCTGATGCTGTCCTACTGAGGTGTCCAGGCCCGCACCTTGCAAGCAGCAGGGTGCTTCTAAGTTCTGAGAAGGCCTCCCCCCTCCCCCACACACCCCCTCTGCGCACAGCAGCTCAAGCAGGGCGGAGAGAGGACGGCGGAAGGAGTGAAGAGGGAGGAGTGATGGAGGAGGGCGAAGTTGAATGGGAACTGGGACACACAAATAAATACACACAAATAAAAAGATTCCCCATATTTTCCAATATTTTCTGGGTTTTTGTCTCCCCCCCACTTCCCATATTTTCGCATATGTTCTGGGGAAGCGACGATTAATTGTGTGTTTGTTTTTCCTCCTGAGAAGTGAGAAGGAGAGGGGATGAAGTGTGGAGAGGACGAGAAGCGAGGAAGGGAGGAGGGCACCCATCGCAACCAGGCCATACCGAATGGTACCCGAAGCCAGATGTCCCTTCGCTGTCCATCTGACGCCCAGCGTTCTTTGGAGGATGGATGGCGCGGGCGCCTCCAATGGAGGCCTGCTACATGTGGCTGAAGTACGCGGGGCCCGAACGCCAATGTCATCGACGATGCATCTCCGATGCTCTGGCATGGAGAAAATCGGATTGGAGATCGCGCCGCAGCGCACATGCATCGGCGGTGCGGCGCGATCCGGGGACTCCGCCTACCAAGACCCCCGACGCCGTGATGTCTTCGCGCCTCGGACCCCTGGAAGTCTCAACCCCTTCCCTAGGACCAGCGTGTCATCCCAAGCCGCTCGTTGACGTTCCCAAGGGCCCGAGGAGGGACCCCCCCGAGGCCGAAACTGGCGAACGCATCCCGTCGCGATCTTTGGGGCAAGTTCGCAGGGATTTGGGCATCCTGGCCACACACGAGACGCCAGGGCGCCCCCAGGCGGCGCCGTCCGCGGCCCAGCGGGTGCGCTGCTCGTCGGCTTGGGGCCGAGGAGGGAGGCGGAGGAGGAGGAGGAGGAGGCGGAGGAGGAGGAGGAGGAGGAGGAGGGGTCGTGTTCCCTCTCCGATGCGCTCCTCGTGGCCCCAGGGGCTCGAGGCGCTGAGGTCCACGGCCCAGCACATCTCCTCCCACTCCTCGTCCGAGGCCTGGAAGGTGGAGCGCTCCTTCAGCATCTCGACGGTCAGCTCCGCGTCCGCCGTGGAATCGCTGCTGCCAGTGAGCTCGCACAGCACCTTCCACATCATGACATCGGTCATCGTCATCATCATCATCACCACCACCATCATCACCACCACCATCATCATCACCGTCATTATCATCATCACCGTCATCATCATCATCACCACCACCACCACTACCACCAACATCAGCATAATCGTTAGCAGTAGCAGCATCACCACCACCATCAACAACATCAGCATCAGCATCATCATCATAATCATGATCATGATCATCGTCATTATCATCGTCATCATCATCACCACCACTACCACCATCGAGATCATCATCCGCAGCATAATCGTCATCATCGTCGCCATCATCATCATCACGACCACTACCATCATCATCAGTTGCATAATCATGATACGCATTAGCAGCAGCAGCAGCATCATAGTCGGCATCATCGTCATCAGCAGCAACATCATCATCACCACCAATACCACCAACGTCATCCTATTCATTGGCAGCAGCATCACCAACATCATGATGATGATCATCACCAGCATCATCTCATCATCATTATCACCATCATTATCACCATCATCATCATCATCATCATCATCATCATCATCATCATCATCATCATCATCATCGCCATCTGCATCGTCATCATCATGGTCACCACACCAACGACCACCATCGTCCGCCATCGTCATCATCATCCTCATCATCATTATCACAACCGCTACAATCATCACCATCACCATCATCATGATAATCATTAGCAGAAGCATCATTGTCAGCATCATCATCGTAATCACCATCAACAGCAACATCATCATCACCACCACTACCATCAACACCATCGTCATCCGCCGCCTCTTCCTCCTCCTCCTCCTCATCGTCATTACCACTACCACGACCACCATCATCATCATCAACATCAGCATCACCACCATTCAGAGCAGCATAATCCTCATGAGTATCATGATCAACATAATCATCATCAGCATGATCATCATCATGGCCATTTTCTAAGTATCATCGTAGCCATCATCACATTATCGTCCTGATCACCACTATCATCACCATCACCATCATCGTCATCATCATCATCGTCGTCATCGTCCTCGGCATCATCATCATCAGCAGCATGATCAGCATCATCAGCAGCACATTCTTCACCATCACTATGACCATCATCATAATCGTCAGTATCATCATCATAATCAGTATCAGTATCATCAGCATCACCATCATCCTCATCCTCATCACCACCAATCATCACCACCTTCATCACAACCATCATCATCAGCATCAGCAACATCATCATCATCAGCATCATCGCCAGCATCATCATCGTCATCGTCAGCCTCCTCATCATCGTCGTCGTCGCCGTCGTCGTCGTCAGCCTCGTTGTCAGTCGTCGCCGACGTCATCGCACAGTAATCGTTATCGTCATCATCACCGTAGTCATCATCACCGTAGTCATCATCAGCATCCTCCGCATCATCATGATAGTCATCATCCTCATCAGCATCATCATCAGTATCAGCATCATCATCATCATCAACAGCAGCAGCAGCATCATCATAATCGTGATGAGCATCATCATCCTCACCACCATCATCATCAGCATCATCATTAGCATCATCATCTTCTTCGGCATCATGATTAGCATCATCATGATGATCATCATCGTCACCAGAACCGCCCGTATCCTCATCCTCAAAATCATGATCATGATCATGATCATCATCATCACAACCACCACAACCATCATCATCATCATCATCATCATCATCATCATCATCAGCATCAGCATCATCATCATCATCATCGTCATAATCAGCATCACCAATATCACCATCATCAGCATCATCATCATCGGCAGCAGCAGCATCAGCATCAGAAGAAGCATCAGCATCAGCATCATCATCATCAATAGCATCCTCATCGGCAACGTCATCATCATCGTCATCAGGATCATGATCCTGATCACCATCGTAAGCAGCATCGCCACCATCGTCATCAGAGCCGCAGCATCAGCATCATCAACAGCAGCGGCGACCTCATCACTACCTACACCAGCCTTCTCGTCGTCATCATCATCATCATCATCATCATCATCATCAGCAGCAGCAGCATCAGCATCATCATCATCATCGCCACCATCATCATCATCACCATATCATCATCATCAGCAGCAGCAGCATCACCATCATTATCATCAGAATCAGCAACAGCATTACCATCACCACAACAATCATCACCACCATCAGCAACATCATCAGCAGCATTATGATTATCGTTTTCAGTATCCGTAGCATCATCATCATCATCATTATCATCATCATCATCATCATCATCATCATCATCATCATCATCATCATCATCATCATCATCATCATCGTCAGCATCATCATCATCACCAGCATCAGCATCATCATCCTCAACATATTCAGCTGCACTTCATCATCCTCACCATTATTAACATCATGATCATCATCAGCATCACCATCCTAAACATCATCATCATCATCATCAGCATCATCATCACCATCATCATCATTATCCGAATCCTAACCATCAGCATCATCAACAGCAGCATCATCAGCAGCAGCATCATCATCACCACCATTACCACCAACGTCATCAAAATCATCAGCAGCAGCATCACCACCACCACAATCATCATTAGCAGCAGCAGCATCATCAGCAGCATCAGCATCGCTCATCATCCTTATCATCATCATCAGCAGCATCAGCAGCAGTTTTATCATATTCATCTTCACTTCATCAGCACCACCATCATTAGAATCATCATCAGCATCATCCTAATCATCAGCATCATCATCATCATCAACATCATCATCATTATCGTTTTCAGTATCATCATTATCATCATCACCATCATCATCAGTTTCAGTACATTCACCTTCACTTCATCATCATCACCACCATCATCATCAACATCATCATCAACATCATCATCATCATCATCATCATCATCATCATCATCATCATCATCATCGTCATCATCATCATCATCATCATATCATCATCCGCATCAGCATCAGCATCATAATCATCATCATCATCATAATCAACCTCATCATCATCCGCAACATCATTTTCATGATCGTTATCCTTACCATCAGCATCATCAGGATCATGATCACTATCATCACCAGCATCACCAAATGATCAGAGTCAAGCAGCAGACTCATCACACCTTCCACATCATGAAATCGTTCTCGTGCGTGCGGATCAGGCGGGACACGATCCAAAGAAAGCCCTCCTTATCAATGCAACCATCGCCACAATCTACATCGCCCGAGATGCTGTCCACCACTGAGGCCGGGATCGAGAGCTCCTTGATGAACATGTCTGGCAGCTCGTGCCGGTCCAGAGTGCCCGACATGTCGGCGTCGTATTTTTCGAACAGCTGCAGCAGCGTCTGCCTCTGCTTCTCCGAGAGCCTCGCGACGGACGCCTCGTGGCCCATGGCGATGAACTCGTCGTGAGTAAGCGACCTTCCAGGGGAGCGCGGAGCAAAGGAGCGAAGAAGAAACGAGGGGGGGGGGAGAGGGTTTTTTTCCACAACACAACCTCAGCGCACAAGCCCACGATGCCCGTCGAGGGTCGAGATGAATGAGACTGGATGGCAAGTCCGCTTCCCCTCAAGGGGGCTATAAACCCACTCCACGAAGCGCAGAGACGCGAGCTCGAACCACTGTGACACCCGAGCGCGGCAACGCAGAGCTCAGGGGGGGAGAGAGGGCGAGGGGGCAGGCGAAGCGCGACGGCGTGGAACGGACGACTCGCCGCAGACGACGAGGCTCGGA